TGTGCGCCGGGCCTCTCTCCGAAGTGCTGGGAGCCGCACCTGCTCCCTCCGGCGCCGCCCGCATCGCCCGCCCGCCCGTGGCCATAATTAACCTCAGTGGAAACACACGATGCCAGAGCAAAGGCCGGAGCGAGTCACTCCATGAGCATCTCAGCTCTGCTCATGGTCCTGCCCCTGGACACGTGCGCTCAACCGCAGCAGCTGCAGCCGGAGCCAACGCGCCGGCCCAGAAGCCGGTCAGCCACAGAGGGGCGAGCGGGAGAACGGTGCATGGAGCCAGCCAGCAGGGTGTCCCCTGAACCCCGGGACGTAGGGGACATAGCCATCCGCAGCCCAGCCTGCTCGCTGCCTACCAGGAGGGGCCGTCTGACCTGGGATTTCAGAGCCCAGAGACGAAGAGGGAGGCCATGGCCACAGCTGGACCAGCTGGGGCTGTGCGTGTCGTGTCCATAGGCGCTGCGAGCCGCGCTCACACACGAATGGGAATGCCGTCGGCGGCAGCATCTCCTCGAACTGGGGACGAAAGCAAATACTCAGCATGAACGAGGGACACGCCACGTGGGCCTCCGCTGGGTGTGGAAGCCCCTCCAGGACTGAGGATGGTGGAGGCGCTGGTGCTGCGGCTCGTGGGCCTGTTTCCGCATCCCCATCACTTTTCCAGGACACACGTCCGGGCCCTCGGCTACCGCGGCCTTCGAAATGCTGTTCCCCCCGAAAGCCTCGCTGGCCTCGCTGGCCTGGTCTCGGCGGTGAGCTCCCGGCGGCCATGTGGCCTGGAGGCTCCATTGTTCGCTACCTGAGCGGGGCTTCTTGCCCGCCCCCCACCCCCCCCCATAGACTGTGCTAGTCTGTGGAGATGCAAACAGCAGATGACACTCAGAATAGAGTCCTGGGAGGTGCACACAGGGGCCTCTGTAGCACGATCCGCACTTGTCCCTGGCGGAGTGGCGATCCGACGGGCAGATAGGAGATCCAGACTGTGATGCGAGGCCAGACTGACTGCTGGCCCTTCACGTGGGCCTAAGAACACTTATCTCCTCCTCCCCAGCTCCTTCTCGGGTTGCAGCGAGACCTGGGGAGACGTAAATATGTAAGGAAAACCCAAGGCCATACTCACAGGTTATCCTTTCAAAAGGCCAGCGCTGCTCAGCAGCCTGATCACGGGCTGATTCAACGTTTTATTCATAAAGAAAAGGCCGATAGCCAGAAAAGGCAGCTCCCTGTGCCTGGAGATGGCGGGAGGCACCGCATAGACTGATCTTTTTGTTCTGATTCGCAGTGTGTGGGCTTGGGCTGTGTGCAGGGCTCCTCGGGCTCTCGCTCCCAGCCCCCAGGCCAGCCCTAACCCAGATTCCTGCTGAAGAAGCCCTTTCTGGGGCGGGCGTGACATAGGAAACCTCAACAATGGCTGCTGGTGTTTAATGTGCATTCAACACCCACGACCAGACCAGGCTCTCTACAGACGTCCAGCTGGCATCTTACTAGAACTTTCTGGGGGAAACACTGGCCGAACGCTCAATGCTTTCAGCTCTTGTGAGAATAACAAGCACACACATTCCTCACGTGTCTCCAATTGCTTCCCGGAAGGCAGTGCAATGTTCTGCTTCTTCCATTAAAAGCAGTCATCAGCCCTGACCGGTTTGGCTCAGTGGATAGAGCATCAGCCTGCGGACTGAAGGGTCCCAGGTTCAATTCCGGTCAAGGGCATGTACCTTGGTTTCGGGCTCGATCCCCAGTAGGGGGTGTGCAGGAGGCAGCTGATCAATGTTTCCCTCTCATGGATGTTTCTAACTCTCTATCCCTCTCCCTTCCGCTCTGTAAAAAATCAATAAGATACAATTTTTTTTTTAGTCATCAACATAAGACACCCTGAAACACATGATTTATGGAACTTCTTTAAACATTCGACTAAGCCACTAGTAGATTGAGCCTGGGGAGGAGAGAGAGTCACCGTATTAAAATATATTTTTGTGTTGTTGTTTTTTGTTTGTGTGTTTCAGAAAATGTGTAGTATCATTAGAAATAAGACTCACTTTCAAACTGTACAATGTTAGTCCTGGTTTGGGTTGTCTTTCTCTTCCTCAGGACTCAAGGTTGGAGCCTCTGACGGGGGAAGCCAAGCCGCCCCGTCTCCTGCCGTGGTCCCACCAGGAAAAGGAGGAACGCAGGGCTACAAGCCTACCATTCGGCCAGAGCGCGGCTGAAGGCGCGCGACCCGGACCCGGGGCCCTGCCTCCTGTCCCTCCCCGCTCCTGGCAACCAGATCTGCAGCCCAGCTCAGAGCCCAGTCAGAGGCTGGCCCTGGTACTCCCCACCATGGACGTACACCAAAGCATTAATAACCATTATCTCTGGGTGGTGAGGAAACACATGATTTCAATTTTCTCTCCTCTCTTTCCCAAGTGTTCTGCAGGAACACATACGACTTCTGTGCTCAGGGAAGGACAAAGGTTTGGGGTTTTGCCTAAAGCCCCTGCGACATACCGTTACCATCCCCCTAGTTCTGCTGCAGTAAGTTCTCCCTTCTCTTTTCCAGGTCGAGGCTGGTGAAAAGGAGCTCTCCACCACGAAGCAGGCCCAGCTCTAAAGAACAAATTCTAAGAGACATTTTTTAAAAGGTTTAAAAATCTTGTGTGACATTAAAAAAAAAGAAGCTAGATTTTGAAACCCGATCCTTTATAACAGAAAGAGGAAGAGAAGTGGCTTATTAATGATGCAAAGCATCCCAATTCTCATCGCACCACGAATTGGAAAATAGAAATCGAAGCCACAAAGAGGGGAAGGCAGGCCACGAGAAATTAGGCCCTAGCCCAGTGGTTCTCAACCTTCTGGCCCTTTAAATACAGCTCCTCATGTTGTGACCCAACCGTAAAATTATTTTCGTTGCTACTGTTATGAATTGTAATATAAATACCTGATATGCAGGATGGTCTTAGGCGACCCCTGTGAAAGGGTCCTTCAACCTCCAAAGGGGTCGCGACCACAGGTTGAGAACCGCTCCCCTAGCCCAAAACGAAATGACCTTCAGCTTGGAAGTCACCCTTCCCCCCTCCCCCCTCCCCCCTCCCCCACTCCAGGGCTTTCTGTAATTGGTGGGGAACTGCTTCCTGGAGTCACAGTGTTCACTCTCCCGGGAAACGTGTTCCCCTCTGAGATGGGCCATGTCTGGTGTGAGCAGGCTGTGAGCTGCTCTCCTTGCCACACCCACAAGACCGACGCCACTGCGCGCCCTGGAACTTCTGTACAGGAAGCGTGCAGGCTGCTGTCATCTGTTCCCTCCTTACAGAATCTCTTTGTAGAACTTTAGCTTCAAGTAGAATTTATTGCTTAAAAAAATAACACAAGATACCACTTCACACCCATGAAGATAGCTGTAATCAAAAAAGAGAGTATCGAGTTTTGACAAGAATGGGGAGAAGTGGGAACACCCATAGATTGCTGGTGGAATATGAAATGAAGTAAACAGTTTCCAAAATACTGTTCGGATAGCAATTTGGTAGCATCTCAAAAAGTTAAACATATACATATCATATGTTCCAGGAAGTCTGCTCCTCGGTGTAAAGACTCAAGATAAATGAAAGCATCTGCCACACAAAAACTTGTGTGCGTGTGTTCAAAGCTGTTATTCATAATAGCTAAAAAAATGGGAGCAACCCACATACCCATCAGCTGATGCTAGGTAAGTGCAATGTGGCCTATCCATACAACTACATACCACTTAGCCATAATAAAGGAATGGAGTGCCAATACATGCTGCAGCATGGACGAGCCTTGAAAACATTGTTCTAAGTAAAAGAATCCAGATACAGGAGGCTGTACGTTGTGTGATTGCTTTTACGTGAAATGTCCAGAATGGCCAAATCCATAGGCAGTAGGATAATGGTTGCCAAGGGCGAAGGAAAAGGAGGCATGGGAGTGGCTGCTGATGGGTCCAGAGCGTGTATATGTATATAATTGATGTCAGAGAGGGAGGGAGAGGGAGAGGGAGATAGAAACACCAATGATGAGAGAGGATCATGGATCGGCTGCCTCCTGCACGCCCCACACTGGTGATCGAGCCCACAACCCAGGCATGTGCCCTGACTGGGTATCGAATCGTGACCTCCTGGTTCTTAGGTCAACACTCAACCACTGAGCCAAGCTGGCCGGACACAGGGCTCCTTTTTACAGTAATAAAAACATTCTGGAATTAGATCCTGGTGATATTTGCACAATTCTGTGAATATTCTACAAACCACTAAATTGTACCCTTTCGAAGAGAGAATTTTATGATATGTGAATTTTACACCAATAAAGCTATATTTTAAAACTGAATTTGGAAGTTATTATTATTCTTAATGGTTATTTTCTAGTTCTGTTTGTTAAAATCCAGAGAGTTTCCACTGTCACTCCTCTAGCAATGAGCACCCTCCGCACCCAGACTTTAACCTCTAACACCATTCCCAATTGCTTAGAAAACAGACAGGGCCCTTGGAGAAAGGCTGGTTCTATGCCTGGCAGCACAGGTACAGGGTCAGGCTGTGCCAGGAAGCAAACCAACCCCCAGGATGAGCAGGATCGTGGGAAGAAGAAGCAGGCCCCTTGAAGGGACTCCCACCGGTCAAAATTGTGCAGATGCAGAAATCCCTGACTCTATGAGTACCCGTGAGTGCATAATGGTATTCTATGAGAACCGGTCTTTGAGAAAGAAAACAAAGCAAAAAATAAAAACATTTTTGTCAACATCACTTGAAATAGCCATTCAACCAACACCTTCCTTAGAAAAATACGTAAAAGGGGAAAAATAAACATGTATTCTGCCATCAGTATAAGGTTTCAGAGTAATCAATAGCCCAACTTATAAATACATATATATATATATATATCTTTATCACATATTTTTATTATATATGATCTATCTTATATAAACTATATATATTACAATTACATGTGATTAATTATAAAATATTTGAGCAGAGACATGAAGAGGGAGGAAGCCAAGGACATATCTCAAGTGAAAGGGTTTTTTTTCTCTGTTTAATACATTTTATCTTTAAAATTACAGTTGACATATAATATTATATTAGTTTCAAGTGTACAACCCCGTAATTAGACATTTCTGTAACTTACAAAGAAAAGCATGGGAACATAGTCGATAATATCGTAATCAGATGGGTGCTAGATATATCGGGGTGATCACTTCGTAAGTTATATAAAGTACAAGCTTTTCAGGTTGAAAGAGCAAAAAGGCAGCATGTGAGGCAGGAATGCGTTTGGAGACCCGTGAGGCCGCAGAGAAAGGGATGGGAATCACAGGCGAGAAGGTCCAGGCGGACTTGAGGGAAACGCCTCCAGCACGCCCCAGGCCCATGCACACGATTCTGTCCACGTCACCTGCACACAAGGCCCTTCCCCCGATTAGTGAATGCAATTACCTCCCATCACCCTCATCGCCTTCATCTCTCCATGCAGGGTGAAAAGCGGGGGTGGATGACAGCTCCGTCTGCTACCCAGAACAGACATTGCTAATTATTCACAGCCTTACCGTCCTTTTCTCCTCTCCCTACATCAAATTTACCTGGTTTTCATTCCCACCCTATAATCATAGGAAGCACAGCACAGCTGTGTCATCTTTGTCCTAAAAAGAAAGTCTTTGTTGTCTAGAAGAGACTAGAGAACCTAGGGCAGGGGTTCTCAACCTGTGGGTCGCGACCCCTCTGTCGGTCGAACGACCCTTTCACAGGGGTCACCTAAGACCATCCTGCATATCAGATATTTACATTACGGTTCATAACAGTAGCAACATGACAGTTATGAAGTAGCAACGAAAATAATTTTATGGTTGGGTCACAACATGAGGAACCGTATTAAAGGGCCAGAAGGTGGAGAACCACGGATAGGGCCTTGCGGGTTCCTGGAAGCGTGAGCAGTCTTCACTTCCTCTGGACCTCAGTGGAGGTCCCCCAGAACGCCAACCCCGGGAGCAGGAAGGCTGAAGTCCGTGCTCTGCTGGAGAGTGTGCCTCGGGGGCCTGTAGAGGGAGCGAGGCCAGAGCAGAAGGAAAGGAGCCCCCAGACGAAGCTGCATGATAGAGCGGGCACCGCTGCTGTGACTGAGTGTTCCGTCGCACAGGATGATTTGGTATTTGTTTCACGAGCACCCATCAGGGGAAGAAAGGGGAGTGTTCATCCACAGACAGCTGCTGAGGGCAGGCCATGGTTCTGTAGCCGGTGCTCCCGCCTGGATTTCTCTGATTGTTTCCTGGGGCATAGTTCTTCCAACTCCTGAATTTCCTGTAAATGAGAAGTTAGGTTAACATCTTGGTTATATTCCATTTATATCTTTTCGCTGGAATTCATCATGGGTGATATTATTCCTTTGCATTCCATTACATCAGGCCGCACCCGTAGCCGGTTGCCCACCGTAGTGATACAAAGATTAGCCTCTGGATTGGGGTGAGGGCAGCCTGGTCCCTCCATTGTGCTGTGGAGTTCACCTGAAACTAGAAAGTCATCTAGTTCCTTTGGCACCACATAAATGTCAATTTCCCCATCATTTATCTAATGTTGTTACTATCAATGGGCACTCAATTGTACTCCACCAGTTCTGTGCACCCAAGAAATACTATTTAACATACAGAGAAATGTCAGAAGTAGCTGGAAATGGACTTCTCATCTCTTCTCTCCATGCCCAATTAGGAGATGGGTTTACCCAAGACAAAGATGCCTCACAGTGTATACGAGTATCTTAATAGAGTATGTGGGCCCTTTTATCCTATCCCCATTTGAGCTTTTTTTAAAAAAATATGTTTTTATTGATTTTTAGAGAGAGAGGAAAGGAGAGGGAGAGAAAGATAGAAACATCAATGATGAGAGAGAATCATTGATCAGCGGCCTCCTGCACGCCCCCTACTGGGGATCAAGCCCACAATCCAGGCATGTGCCCTTGACTGGAATCAAACCTGGGACTCTTCAGTCTGCAGGTCAATGCTCTATCCACTGAGCCACACCAGCTAGGGCAGTCACCTCTTGATTTATCTCTCTTTAAGCCAAGTGCCAGACCTGATAGAGTTCTGCTCCTGGGATGGCACCCCAGAAGGCAGCCTTTCCCCAGGGCTGTGCCTTCCCCGTCTATCTTAAGCACACAGAATGCTTCCAAGTAAAAAATGGCTCCTGCCACCCTCTACCTGAAGTATTCCCATGGATTTCCTCTGGGAAGCCAATGAGCCTACGGTTTTTACAAGAGCTCATAGAACCTGCGCCATCAGCTTCTCCCATGTCCTTCCCTTCCACTCTTCTTCGCAAAGAGGTGCTTTGGTCATTACCAGACTTCTTTCGGTTCCTCGAGTGGTTCCTCTCTTGTCTCCCAGACTTCTGAAATCCTCTTGCACCTTTCCCAGTCACCACCTTCTCCGGGCTAACCCCTCCTCGAACGCAAGGTCTCAGCTAAATGTCACGGCGGTGGGAAGATCTTCCCTGGTCATCTCCACCACAATGCAGTGTAAGCACCTGTTTGATATCTGCCTTCTCTGTGATCCCAAAACGTCCAAGAAAGCTGCAGCAGGATTTGTCTTGTTTGCTTCTCTATCCCCATCACAGAGTCTGCAGAACGTAATAAACGTTGACTAAATATCTGTAGAAATTATGTTGATAACTAAGCCATGGATAGACTATGGGCTATTTGTGCTGGGATAGTCTGTGTGCCTCTCCTGCAGATTTTGTGAATAAACAGTAGAAAAACATTATCTGTGGAAGTATGTTGTTTAGAATAAAGTAGTAACTGCAGAGCTGTTTCTTTTATTAATCCTAAAGTACAATCCCTTCCCAAATACTGGGCTAGATAGTGTTCCTGGCTCAGCTTTGCCCTAAGTTTTGTAGAGTTAGTATCTAGAAAATGGTGATGATAATACCTATCTAGAAAGGTAGTTAAGAAAATAGAGGTGATATATTTCATGTCCCTGGTATAGAATAGGTACTCAATGCATGGCAGCTATTGTTAAATAACAAAATAATAGATAAATGCATATTAGGGTGTGTGTGTGTGTGTGTGTGTGTGTGTATACTCTTTCAAGGCAATTGCTGTAATGGTGACACTGATTAACTTGGTAAGACACTCTAGGACAGGGGTGGGCAACCTTTTTGTGAGTGCGTGCCAAAACTAGCAAAATCTCTGACTCAAAATTCTTCTGCGTGACAACCCTAATTTTTTGAGAACATGTTACGCCTACTTCATATCTCTTAAGGTGTACGTATGTGAAGAACCTTGAAGAAATAATAAAATTCATTAGAGCGACAAAAACACAGTCTATGATGATGAAAATACATTTATTTTTTAATGTATACATGTACACTGATAGTCCGACAGAAAACTTTATGACTCCGTTTGGTATGACCAGTGGGACTTTTGCTGCTGCCTCACTGATGACGGAGATTTTACATCAGGTTTCTATTTCGTGACCTTCAGAGAGATGCACGCGCTACTACTTTCATCCATCAGGCTACTCCTGTTACGAGACTTAACAAAATTCATCCCTGAGAACAAAGACTCACAAGCGTGTGTGGATGAAACCAAAACACTGGTTGAATCTAGGAAGGCAGGGAGAGCTAAGGCAGAGGCATAGAAATTGCTCTTCCCCTCTCTCGTCAATCCATGTCTATGGTCTTTAAGATAACTTGTTATGTAAAATTACTTATTTATCTAAGATGCACCTACACTGAATTTATCTGAAAAATAAAAAAGTCGATATTAAGAAAAAAATTGTAAATGGAAGATTATTAAGAGCAGGTTTCACGTGCCAGCAGAAGTTACTGGCGTGCCATGTTTGGCACGCGTGCCAGGGGTTGCCCACCCCTGCTCTAGGCTACAGAATTATTCCAGGGGGGATTCTCTGGATGAGGTCCAAAAGGTTCTTGAAAAGCAGGTAGGCTGACTGTGGTGCATGGGCAGAATCATCATCTACCTGGCAGTTGGATATTTCAAAATCAGGAGTCTTCATACGGGTCCACGGAACTCTGGAGTGTTTCGAAATGGCTATGATTTCCTTGAAACTGAATGAAAAATTTTGAGTGGGTGTGTATGTGTTTGTGTCTGTGCACTATTCTAGAGAAATGGTTCCTAGTTTTCAATAGCTTCACAGAGGAACTGCAAATAAGAAAAAGCTAGGGATCACTGCCGCAGCCTTCTTCGAGAAATCTGGTGCTCTGGCAAAAAGAAAACGTTGGCAGCGTGCTGGCTGTGTCATCTGGCTGGCCAAAGTAATGCTTTCTGCTAAAGCAAAGATGAGAAACTTGGGGCCAAAATGATCTCAACTAAATGGTTCCTCTCCACCATGCTTCCAGCTGCCCAGCATGTGGGCTGCTCACACGTGGTTGCTGCTGATTATTCTCATATCTTTACTTGCAAGGAAATTGCAGTGAAACCAGCTCAGAAAGGAATTGTTTAGCTAATGTATTGGATAACAAATAGACGAGCCCCTATATACACCAACAATTTTATATTGCTCAAGAGTGACTGCGTATGGAATATTGAGCACACATTGAACAAGGCTGCGTCTAAGTCATTCATCTGCTAGTATTCATAATGTATATATATATTCTTATCCTAATCCAAAAGCTAGCCAGGCTCGCCATGTGTTGAAACAATTTATTTCAACACTTAATGCATCATCTCTCCTGTATTTCCACATGTTGTGTCATCACCAATTGACCTCAACCCATTGTTAAATATTTAATAGCACTGTTGGATAAACAATACAAAGTAGAGTTTACTTTTGAATGTAGCATTTACATGAAAAAAAGAAAATAACCCAGAACATGCTGCAGAAGGTACAATGTGAAGGTTGGCATACTGATCCTTCTGGTGGACAGAAGAGGAGCTACCTCAGGAAAGGAAACTGGAGAGGATGACTACATCAGGGAGCGCAATGACTAATGGAAAGACGCAGGAACTCTCCCGTAGAGAGCAAAGGCAGAAAGCAGCTGCCACCCAAACGTCGGCGCAATGGACCCTCCATGTTCCCACCTCTGAGAACGTAAGCAGGATGATCAACTGCGTTGAGTGGGATTCTAGTCACATGAAAATGATGAAATAATATTCAGTGAAACACTGATCAGCAGAGGATGGTTTTTAACATTCACTACATGTAAATCTCATAGTGACAGAAGTCCTTCGTCAGAGGAGTGACTATGGTCTAAGAGAAACACCCACAGAATGCACACGGGAGACTCTGATGAGTTAGCACTCTGCTCCTGGGAGGTGTGCTCAGTACATTCTTTTTGACTGACCATAGACAACCGCCCTTGGGACACATCGGGACGAGCAGAAGCCTGCACCAGGAAATCTTTATGACCCACAGAGTTCCTTTGAGATAAAAAGCTGAAAACTGCATTTATGATCCCACTTCTACATGTTTTCCAGTGTCACTCAAAATGTAAAATGGGTCCACAAGCCATAGTTAGAAGGAATTTAAGAAAATCTAAGTAAATGGAAAGATATACCATGTTCATGGTTTTGAAAGCTTAATGCTGTTAAAATTTCAGTTCTCCCCAAATTGATCTCTCCCTGCTATAATCTCATAAAGTTATTTGTTTTTTAGAATTCAACAAATGGATTCTAATATATATATATAAATACAACCAGAATACCCAAAGCACACTTGAAAAAGAACAAAGTGGAGAAATTACATTACTTGAACTCATGACTTACTGAAAAGTCACAGAAATGAAGATAATGTGGTACTGGAATTGAATCAACAAACAGATCAATGGAACAGAATGGGGAAACCAGAAGCAGATCCACACTTAAGAGGCCTTTTGATTCCTGACGTGGGGCCAAAGGCAAAATGCGAACTGGATTTGGAATGAATTCCCCTTTGAGGAAAGATGACTAAAAGTCAATCAGAAGATGCAATGCAGCATGTCTAACTGCCTTGGGACCTTTGGGCCTACGCAAACCTAACATTTCATCTGGGGGGCAAAACAGACAAAAGACATGAGATAGGATTTTGTCAAACGAGGAAATACAGATGAAAACATGGATGATCAGACAGCCATGGTATCAGCTACTGATGGCAATACTGAATAAGGCAAGCACTTAGCAAAGAACTAATTATTACTTGTGCAAACCACTGCTACTCTATGAAAGCTAAAGTGAGGTAACAAAAGCGGAAGTGTGAAAAAGCAACTACAGCATACCAACTCACCCTCCGCCAGGACTGGCCCAGGGAGGCGGCTCTGACGTTGTTGGCCGACACGTCATTTCAGTCATGAAGTAGTGGAACACAACAGCCAATACGGATGGGCTGTGTCACCCTTTCACTGCAGTAGACAGTGGAACTGGAACTGGGGTTAAACGGGCTCAAGGTCACACCCTGATAGTTATAACCAAATAGATGAATCATTTGGATTGTCAAAGTGACCTAAAATATAGTAAACCATTTAGATGTTACCATGGACTCATGATAACATTCCTATCCCGGGGCATACTTTGAATTCCTTACTTTATGTGAATGAATGATGCTAAGCTTGAATATGCTGATACAGGTTTATGTGGATGAATGATGTTAAGCTTGAATATGCTGATACAGCTAGTGTGACATATCACAGAGGACTCCTGGAAACCCAAAGTATTTCCAAGCTTGGAGGGGAAAGTAAGGCAATAGAAGTGTCACACAGAAACAAGTAGTATCAGAAAGAAAGTTCTGTTCCTGATTGACTGACTGGGTAACATCAGGGCAACCCTGACAACAGAAGCATTCCAGTAATCCATTCATTTTTCTCAGCGCTGTACAGAAAACATATATTCTCGTGGCTTTTTAAAAACACTTCATCCCCGGGTGGTTTGGACAAAATAGATAAACATTGCTTTTACGCACTCACATTTCTTAACGTTTTTGTTCTGCAACAATTCAGCCAGGACAGACGCTCCCGCCACCCCTCCTCACATCCTCAGTCTCGCCTGTGCAGTTGCACAATGCCAATGGCCGTGACGCATTCAGTCGCTGTTTTTGTACCTAGAAGGACAAAATCTGATTTTTAAAAATGCCAGCCTACTTCTCAAGTGCTTAAATCCTGCTGTTTAATCAAGATTGAGTATTTGCATTTGAAAGTTTAATATTCACCTTGCAAAACACCTGACTTCAAAAAAGTTTGACATTCAATTTTTAAGGCAAAAAAATATAAGCTACTCAGTTCATGGCTTTCCAATTTTCCGTGTGTAACTTTTTCAGGACTGAAATTTAACCGGGTCAGTTCTGGTCTCAAGCAACCACTTTGTACGATCTCACACGTCTTTCTTGGGAGCTAGATCCCATCGTTGGCTAAACTCTAATATTTTAAATTTATAAACTTCAGAAGGAAGATCGCTTTTGAAGCTGACACACACACACAAGCACCAACCCTAGAACAGCAGCTTTTTGTGTGCTGCCCAGAAAATCAGTTACAAAGTGGTCTTATTGTGTTCCCATCATTTACATTTACTTTTTTGGCAGAGCAGAAAGGAAAAGAAGAAGTCAAGCTCGGAGGCATACAACAGAAATGAAAGAAGGCATTTTTATGTTAAAATGTGCCCTTGACATTTAGACATCGACCAACCCAATATTGAGCATCGACAGGAGATGAAACAGCCCCAGAGACTGCAGCTGTTTTCTGTGACGTCGCTGAGCAGGTGCCATGCCGCCTCAGCCACGGAAACGGGGTGGGTCTCTTGCTGATGCCCACGGAGGCCCACATGGGGCCAACGCTGACCTGCGTCTCAGTTCCTCAGATTGGCCCCGAAATACCCCCGCGCCAACAAGAGTCCTGATGACTGACCTGTGCCAATTCACAGCAGACATTCTCCCAAACAGATCAATACTATCCAAGGGGCAGCTGGAAAACAGGATGAGCCTGTCTCACTGAACAAACAGCAGGCTGCTTATTCGCAAGGGCAAGAGCCGCACCGCACTGCGTTTTCCACAGTGTGTTTGCTGGAGACTCGGCCCTGACCCGCAGAGCCGCCCTCCGGGTGAGGAGTAACCCAGCGGTGGGCCTGCTCTGATCCTGGCGCTCGCTCAGCGTGGGGGCATTTTTTTTTACATGCTTGCCTTACTTACACTGTCTTCATACTTTTTTATTCTTCTTTTTGCTCTTCTTTTTTATATCTTTATTAATTTCAGAGAGCAAAGGAGAGGAGGAGGAGGAGGAGGGGGGAGAGAGAGAGAGAGAAACATCAATGATGAGAGAGAATCATTGATTCGGCACTTTTTACAATGAGAGCCACTATGTCCGCGCGGGCCTCGCCTAGACAATCCCACGATGCCAGAGCAACTAGTCAGTGCTGTGGCTTCCGTCCAATGGCAGGCCTGAGTGTTTGGCATTGTGTAGATAAAACAGAAACAGTATTTTACTTTCTACTCATCATACTGGAATTGTGTGGACACACCTTGGATGAAATTAATTCAGAAAAAATGTTAGGACACTAGTTGTTTCTATATATAAAAACTGAAATAATTATGTGGATGAACCAAATATATTTGCTCAAACATCCAGATAGGTATTTTTTATTAACTCCCCCCCCAAATTTGCCTCTTTTCTATTTTTTATTTAATCGCATAGATACTCTCCCCCCCCCCCAAAATAAGGAGGTCATATTGTACATATCTGTGTGCTCTTTTTATATTTATATATTTATATTTGTATATGTGGACATGTAAATGAACAAGAGTTAAATCTAATAAAAACATGAAAGTTGCATCACTATTATCATTGCTACAAGGTTACAAAATATGAGGAAATTATAGTCTTTACAACAATCTTCCCAAAAGTGCTGAGAAAATAAAACTATGGAATACAATGTGACCCTACATTCCTCGAGGCACGATGACTTCATATATGACCCAGCATGAGTAAAATTTTAATGCTTCGAATGGTACTAGGGCCAAAAGCCTAACTAGAATTAGATTTTCCCGGCTTCCAGAGGCTACAGCAGATTCGGGACCAATAAATCCATTTAAACAGGGCAAACATATTCCAGTCGGAGCGGCTCAGCACTTGAGTGTGGACCTATGAACCAGGAGGTCATGGTTGGATTCTGGGGTCCGGACACAGGCCCTGGTTGTGGGCTCGAGCCCCAGTGGGGAGCGTGCAGGAGGCAGCCGGTCCATGATTCTCTCTCATCATTGATGTTTCTCTCTCTCCCTCTCCCTTCTTCTCTGAAATCAATAATACACACACACACACACACACACACACACACACACACACAGGGGGCAGATACATAATCATATTATCACGCTTGGGTCTTAGAAGTTTTTAATGGCCATTGGTGGCACCGCTATACATCTACCATCTAAGATCTTTTCAGGATGCAGACATTTTCACTTATTTTCTGTCCGCTAGCTAAAGCAGAAGCTGTGCCTCTGGCTGCTCTTAACAGACAAATTTGTATGGAAAAAAAAAAGTCAAGTGACAATGCTTCTTAGCCTTCCCCTTTTCTTCAAGAAGCTTTCCCTGGGGGGCGGGGGGGGGGGGCTTGAAGGGGGGAAACAAGGCTCCCTCCAGCCTGTGGCTATCGGGGCTCTCAGTCCCTGCCCCGGGTGAAGAAGCGCATCCCACGGGGAGCCGTGCCCGGAGCGCGCTCGGCCTGCAGGACAGGGGCCTGAGCGTCCGCCGTTAGAGGGCACTCACCCACTCCGCTGGAGCCGCCTCCGCGGAGGGAGAGAAAGGAAGGCGGCGGAGGACCGGGCGGCGGGGGGCGGGGGGCGAGGGAGGGAGGGAGGGGGAGCCGCGGCGGCGGGGTGGGTGGACGGGAGGGGAAGAGCCAGGAGGGAAGAGAGAAGGAGTCCGTCTGCAAAGATTAAGGAGGATATGGAGTCCCCGAACCGTCTGAAGTGAGCGCCCGCCCGGCCCCGCCCGCCCCGCCCGCCCGCGGGGCCTCAGGACCGCAATGCGATGGCACGGCGACCAGCCGCGGCGAGGTCACCGTCTCCACGGCCTCCGCACCGGGAGCGCGCGGTGCAGGTGCGGCGGCCGCGGGCTTTGTGCTCCCTGCCCACGTTCCGAGGGGGTCGGCGCGCCGGGGAGGCACCCACACAACTGTCCTCTAATATTAGCACGGCTGTGTTTCGGGCCTATTATAGTCCGTCCAGACAGATCCATTGTAATGGGATCTTTTATTAAAAGATTAGCACTATCTCCTGCAGTTGGTGGAAAAAAATCTGTTATCGCTGAGTTATTTGCAGTTGTGGACGGGGTGGGCGGTGGGGGGAGGGCGGGAGGAGCGGTGGGGCGGTCTGGCGGGGTGGGGGGAGGGGGTGTGCATGGGGGGGGAGGGGGGGAAAGGGCAGATTCGAAATCCGCGGGAGAAAATGCCGGGGACCTGCGAACGTCCGAGAATTTTGTCTGCATACTTCGCTGTCTGTTGTCCTCCGGGCCCCAGAAGCGCGAAGAACAGGCATTTTTCAAAGGCGGCTTTTGGGGTAAACAATATAGCATTTTCCGTGAAGTAATCGTTTTATATAAAAGGAAATATCGCCTCCTCGGTTTCATTCAGCGGTGCCAGCAATGTTATAAATGAGAGGCCCGCCAACTGGCCGCGAAGAATGCCAGGCCCTGTCTTAATAAACTGAGGCTACAGAAGTTCATTATCGATGTTGCAATCTTTTTATTCCGCGAACCGAGAAAGACGGTGGGGGGGGGGGGGGAGAGAGAGAGAGAGAGAGAGAGAGAGAGAGAGAGACTGACTCAAGGCAGAAACTGGGGAGCTCGGGGCGGGGGAGGGGCAGACCGCCTACGTCGGCGCCCGGCTCCGCGGGGCGACTCCAGACGCGGCGAAGTGAAAGGGGAGGAAAGAAAGGGAGAGGGCGACGCGGCGACGGGGGGGGGGGGGGGGGGGGGGGTCCTGAACATTCTTGTTCGCTCCTGACTCGTGGAGACCAAGGGCCGCGTCCGGGCCCTGCTCCGCCGGGATGCCAGGGGCCGCGCCCGGGGCTCTTGGCCACCGGTCTGGGCTGGGGGTGGCCGCCGAGCGAGGCGCGCACAGACCCAGACACAAAACCCCGCCGGCCCCGCGACCAGGCTGCGGGAGCCTGACCCCGCGCGCCCCGACCCGAGCGCCGGCGGGTGGTGCGGCCGCGCGGGGCTCTCGGGCGCCTGCAAAGTCTCCCCGGAGCGGAGCGGAGCGGCGGTGCGCGCACCAACTCGGGTCCCCCCAGCGCCCCCGCCGCGCGCGCGCAGACACCACCGCGCGCACACACACACTCACACACACACACACACACACACACACACACACACACTCACACACACACTCTCTCTCACCCGCCGCCCTGCGCGCCGGCGCTGCCTGGGAGCGGCGTGCAGCCTGGAAGTGGGTGTTCTTCCCGCTCCCCACCCCCGACGCGTCCCCCACCCCCGCCCCGGTCGCCGCCCCCCTCCCTCGCGCTCCTACGCAATAAGAACTCGGCGATTCCCCTCCTGCCGCCGGGATCGCGGGCACCTCCAGCCGATCGCTGGGAAGGGTTTCCAGAAGGTGGGAAATGTCACCTGATTCACACTGAACTTTTAAAAGCTCCCCGCCCCCCAGGAGCCGCGCACACCGCGCGCGGCCGCCCGCCCGCTGCCCCACACCCCGGGAGACCGCCCACCGCACGCCCGGAGACCCCGGCCGCATTTAAGCGCGGCGGCGCCCGGCTCCCGACGTCCATTGAAGCGCGCGGCGGCCGGCGGCGAGCGCGGGGCTGCGCCAGGATCGCTGCGCCCTCCGCCGCCCGCCTCTGCGCCCGCCCGGGCCCCCGCCGCTGCTCGCCCCGCGCCTCCCCCGAGATGGGCCGCTCCCGGCACCCGCCCGGCGGGCTCTGCCTGCTGCTGCTGCTGCTCTGCCAGTTCCTGGAGGACCGCAGCGCCCAGGGTAAGCGGCGCGGGGGGCGCGGGGGGCTGCGGCTCGCACTTCGCCGCCGTCCCCACGAGTCTGCTCGGAGCGATGCTGCTCTCGGATCCTCGGACCCACCTAGCGACTCGGGCATGGAGAGCGTGTGGACCGGAGGAGGGACAGGGCAGCCGAGCGGGGAGCGCGGTGACCCTTGAAAAGGAAGGGAGCGCCCGGGTGCCGCTCGGGTTGGGGTTAGATGCTCCGATTCTGGGCAGAACGAGCGCGGAGGTTTTCCGCGGGGCTGGGCTGGGGAAGGGCAGCATCAGCCGCCTGCGGAGTCCGGCCCGACCCCGTGCAGGTTACCTCTCCCCCACATCCCAGTGGGAAATGACGGGGGGGGGGGGGGTGGTACTGAAATGTCTTCGGTGGCGGGGACGCGGTTTCAGAAACTTTGCCCAAACTTGGAAATGTGGGCGCTGGGCACTGTGGAGGGAAGTCACTTTCCTGCTCGGTGAATTTCTTCCAACCCCGTCCCCCGAACCCTAAAAACACCCGACCCCAATCCTGACTCGGGAGCGCTGTGCGCGGCTCACCGTCCCCCGCGGACCCTCCTCCGCCGGTTAACTTCCCGGAGAGCAGGCGGAGCCGCCGCCGACTTCCATTCAGATGCGCTGAGCGCGAGCCTCTCACGTTGGTTTTAAAAAAAAATCGGTTTGTTTCAGTTAGTCCTCGAGCAGACTTGTAAGGAAATCCTCGCAGCAGCGCGCGGCCCGGTGACTGTTAACGGTGTCCGGATGGCTCGGGAGAAGTCCGCGGACCCGAGTCCCGACGCTAAGGGGGGGGGGGGGGGGGCTCGCCGAGGTTTCGGTCGGGATGGGACGGCGTGCGCTCCCGGGATGGCGCCCCCCCACCCCGGTCCCCGCACTTCCCTGAGCCCGAGGCGCGCCGGGCCCTGCTCTCCGCCACCGCGGAGGTGCCCTGGCCCCCGCCGCGCGCCGCTCTTCGTGCCGCCTTCGGGGCGAGGCGCTGCCGGGCGCCGGGGACGGGCCGTGGGCGCCGCGGAGAGCAGCCCGGGCCGATTTCGAAAGACCGCGGTGGCCGCGGGCGTCCCCTGGGCCCGGTGATTGCAACACGGCCCGTCGGGCGGGCTGCGCCCCGAGGCCGGGCCGGCACGGCCGCCTGTTTGCTTTCATTTTCCTGCGCCGGTGGCTGCGCTCGCCCCCGCGCCCTGCCGCCGCGCCCTCGCCCCTCCGCCTGCCCCGGTCCCCCCGCTTAACCGTCACCCCACCCCGCTCCCCCGCGAGCGCCGGCGGGCGGCCACCTCCGTCCGTCCTGTTTTTGCCAAGTTCCCGAGTCGCTGCCCGTTCGGAACCGGGACGAGCGAAAGCAGACAGTCCCAGGCGGTCCGGCGAAAGGCCGCGCGGCTGCACGTGCCGTGTCTGGGTCCCCGGGAGCTGACCCGGGCCGGCTCGGGGGGCCCGGGCGCCGGGGGCCCGGCTTCTGGCTCGCGCCCTCCCCTCGCCCCCCGCCCACCTCTCCGGTCCGGGCTTCCCCTCGGCTTCCCCGCCCTCCACCGCCTTCCAAGTGCTTCCCGCGGGCCCCCGGCTCCTGGCCCCTCCGCCCCGCGCCCTCCGCGCCCCTCGGGTCGGCCCCGCGGCCCCCGCCCCTCCGCGCCGCGCCCATCGCCTCCCGGTCTGTTCCCCGCAGCCGGGAACTGCTGGCTGCGCCAGGCCCGGAACGGCCGCTGCCAGGTGCTGTACAAGACGGAGCTGAGCAAGGAGGAGTGCTGCGGCACCGGCCGCCTCAGCACCTCGTGGACCGAGGAGGACGTCAACGACAACACGCTCTTCAAGTGGATGATTTTCAACGGGGGCGCCCCCAACTGCATCCCCTGCAAAGGTGGGCCTCCCCCGCCACCCCACCCCCGCTGCAGGCAGGCCTTGACCCAGCCCTGGGCCCGGTCCCCTTCCCGTCCCCCGGCCCCGGGAACCTGGGTGGAGTCTTGCCTGTTACACACTTTACGCAAAACAAGGTCGGCGGAGGCTCCGGGGCTGCCTGGCCAAGTGTGGCGGTGGAGGCCAGCCACCCGGGCTCTTGGAGAGAGATCTGGGTCTGGGGCGAGGCCCACTGGCCTTCCCTTCCCCCTCCACCCTCCCCAACTCCTGGGAGGGAGCCTGGGCCCCTGGGGCGCCGCGGGCACCATTGCGCAAGGCCTCCCCGGGCAGAGGTCCTGCTGACCTGCCTCCGGCCTGGCCCCGCTCAATCCCTGCCTCTTTCCAACTGGTAGAAACGTGCGAGAACGTGGACTGTGGGCCCGGGAAGAAATGCCGCATGAACAAGAAGAACAAACCCCGCTGCGTCTGCGCCCCGGACTGCTCCAACGTCACCTGGAAAGGCCCGGTCTGCGGCCTGGATGGCAAAACCTACCGCAACGAGTGTGCGCTCCTCAAGGCCAGGTGCAAAGAGCAGCCCGAGCTGGAGGTCCAGTACCAGGGCAAATGCAAAAGTAAGTGACCCAGCTGGTGCCGGGCATGGGCGGTCCCCAGGAGGGGCCTAGTAATGGTCATGAAGGGCCCAACTAAAGGAACACTTTCCAACGTCCAAAGACTCCTTCGGAACACAGAGGGCCCCTGCATAGCTCAGTGGCCGAGCATGGACCTATGACCCACGAGGTCACGGTTCCATTCCCCGTCAGGGCCCATGCCCAGGTTGCAGGCTTGATCCCTGTGTGGGCTGTGCAGGAGGCAGCCGGTGAATGATTCTCTCTCATCATTGAAGTTTCTCTCTCCCTCCCTCTCCTTTCCTCTCTGAAATCAGTAAAAATATATTTTAAAAGGAAAATACCACAGAAAGGACCATACCGAGAGTCGCAGGTTTGCTCTTGAATCCCTCAGGGCCCCCAGCTGCCTTTGGTCGGGGATTTCCTAGATCACATCGGATCCTCCCTTCCGATGCCCGGACGCTGCCTGCTAACGTGTCTCCCTCACTGTTGCAGAGACCTGCCGGGATGTCTTCTGTCCAGGAAGCTCCACGTGTGTGGTAGACCAGACCAATAACGCCTACTGTGTGACCTGTAACCGGGTCTGCCCAGAGCCCCCCTCCTCGGAACAGTACCTGTGTGGCAACGACGGGGTGACCTACTCCAGCGCCTGTCACCTGCGGAAGGCAACCTGCCTCCTGGGCAGGTCCATCGGACTGGCGTACGAGGGAAAGTGTATCAGTAGGTATTCCGGATTGAGAAACAAAAAGAGAAAGTAGGAAGGAGACGGCCAGGTCTGGCGTTAAAACCGTGGTGTTAACCAGTGAAGAAGCCAGCGCCTCCCAGTTGCAGTTTCGCCAAAGAGAGAAATCCTCCCTGTGGCCCCATGCTCCCCAGGGAAGCTGTTGTCTTCCCGAAGCGCTGGCATCTATTCTGAAACAGGAAACAGTTTTCTGTCTTAGAAAACGTAGAACTCACTCGATTTGGCACATTCTTTCTAAGTGCTAGACTGGCTGGGAGCAAGAAGTAATTACTTACCAGTTCTTCACAGCTGTCATTAGGTTCTGATAACGGATGGAACGCTTTCTTTTTTTTTTTTAAGATCCCACTGTGGGGAAGCATCAATGCATATTTAGCTCCAGGACACTGGAATCCTGTTCCAGAAATACTATTTTCATGCACACATATAGTATGTAGGAAACGGGGGGGATTTGTGTATAATTCAGTTTTATTATCAAGCATTTTGCATCATATATCTTCATTACCCCCATTAGCGAGCAATAAAATGTAAGCTGTGCGTTTAGCCTTAGCCAGTTTGGTTCAGTTTGGTTCAGTGGGCCTGTGGACCGAAGGGTCCTGGGTTCTATTCTGGTCAAGGGCACGTACCTTGGTTGCAGGCTCCTCCCTGGCCCGGGCCCTGGTCAAGGCTCCTGCAGGAGGCAACCAATCCATGTGTTTCTCTCACATCAATGTCTCTCTCTGTCTTCCCCTCTCTTCCACTCTCCCTAAAAATCAATGGAAAAATATCCTCAGGTGAGGATTAACAAAACAAAACAGAAAAAGGTGTACGTTATATATTTATCTTTCTTGATAGAGAAGTAGGGGAAGGGAGCGAAGGGGGACAGAGGGAGTCCACGTACTCATCACAGGTCCATTATATCCTAGAAGCAAAGTCCTGTGAGGACATCCCCTGCAGTGGTGGGAAGAAGTGTCTATGGGACTTCAAGGTTGGCCGAGGCCGGTGCTCCCTGTGCGACGAGCTGTGCCCGGAGAGCAAGTCCGAGGAGCCCGTCTGTGCCAGCGACAATGCCACCTACGCCAGCGAGTGCGCCATGAAGGAGGCCGCCTGCTCCGCGGGCGTGCTGCTGGAAGTGAAGCACTCCGGACCTTGCAACTGTAAGTGCTGTTTTCAACTTGCTCCAACCTAAGGCTGCCCAGCCACGCCCGAGGGAGCGGAGATGCACACCCGTTACCAGCGCATTGCCCTTGAAGCTAGGTAGCTGCTCAGCCCGCAGGGGCGGTCCCTGGGACGTGTCCCATGACCATCCAGCGGGGCTGCCTCTAAAAGCCTCTTCCGATCCTGTGCCCCTAATTCCTTTGCCGTAGTCCTGTGCTTGGCTGTGGGCTTCATTAACCCTCGAACCTAAACTAACTGCTTCAGAAGTTGTTGTTTTCTTTCTCAAAGGCAGCTTTCTGTTATCACGCGCGCGGCTGCTTCGCGCAGTCGCCTCCACTAACTCTGAAATAAGGACCCAAAGCAGTTGTACCTAGAACACAAGAACGCTTTTTATCTGATTTCAGGATCTGCCCGTAAAACCTGAGCCATTGATTCTTCAGAACTTTCTGCAGTTGTTGACTTCATAGATTATGGTGGTGTTTTTTTGTTTTTGTTTTTGGTGGTTTTTTTTTTTAAGTATTTAAAAAAAAAACGTGTTGCAGAAGAGCAGGTGCCAAAAATAAAATATTAAAATAAAATAAAGCATCTCCCTGCGAGTCACGTACAAGTCACCGCTGTAAAGTGGCTGGCAGAGGGCTTGGCCACGTACCCTGAGCTGCTCTGCGCTGGTGTTGTCCGCATTAAACAGCAGCTCCCTGTGTTCCCCCATCTAGCCATTTCGGAAGACACCGAGGAAGAGGAGGAAGACGAAGATCAGGACTACAGCTTCCCCATATCTTCCATTCTAGAGTGGTAAAGCCGCCAGCAGTGTTCAGTGTTGGCCTAGCCTCTGGGCAGAAAACAAAAAGGAAAGAAAGAAAGAATATATATTGTCCATACTGTACATAAGTGTATGCTTATTTATTTGGGGGGAAAGTATCCATAGAGGACCTTGGTCCTCCAGCTCTCTCCCAGGCCACCTGTCACTCCTCGGACCCAGAGGGGCCGCCTTGTGAGGTCTGCTGGATGAGGCCCGTCGTCGAGACGTGTAGACATTTATTTATACTGTGTCATGTTTTATAATTTATACATAAAATGTCTGGTTGACTGTACACCTTGTTTTTGAAGAAATTTATTCGTGAAAGGAAGAGCAGTTGTTATTTATTGTGAGGTCTCTTGCTTGTAAAGTGAAAGCTTTGTTTGCCTTGTAAACCATGAAACCATTCCTTCCCGGTCACGCACTCCCCCGCCCGCCCCCTCCGTCGCGCCGTCCGCAGGCCCCGCTCCACTTGAACGCACTTGCATGTCGGTGTGTCCTGTTTATTTATTGGATTCTCTGCTGCCTGTTCTGTACGTACACGATCCCTCGGGTTTTGTTTACAAGGAATCTTGACTGACCAAACGGCATTGTAACTGGCTCCGACCGGAGGTACAGGGGCGCCAGCTTTGAGGAAACTCCTGCTTCAGTTCTCCGGTTGCGACGGAGACGGTTGCGAGACTGAGGTGATGGCGACCTGAGACTTCCAATAATCAGTACTTTTAAGATGTTCCAGATCCAAAGAAATGGAGTGATGGGTGTCGGGGGGCTGCCCGAGGGGGTGTTGCACACTCGACTTTTGTTGGGTGCTTCCTGGAAGCTGGGCTCCTGTACCTTTAAATTCGTTCTTTTTCAACCAGTGTGTCACTACACGTTATGGCAGAGCTTTCTCAGTTCAAGTTTCTTGCTTTTCATAATACTTTTTTTCTGATGCAATTTTATATTTTCAAACATGGCAAGTTAAATAAAAATTCATTTAAATATATAGTTTTGTACTTTTCTACCATGTAAATGTGCAATGTATATAAAAGTTATAATGTGTATTTGTAAATAAATGATGAGTGAAAAAATAAAAAAATTTTAAAAAGCCAAATGGTCTCAGTCGCTGATGATGTCAAAGAAGTCCTTTGGGCTTTGGCGTGAAAAGGTATGGAATGCATTTGCTGAGAAATAGAGAGGTCGCCAGAAGTGAGCGGCCGGGGCAAAGTGAATGACAAGCCCCCCCCCCGTCCCTCGCCCCCCGCGAGTGTGAAATGGAAAGGGGATCTGAGGCCGGGCAGCCCCTGTGTGAGAGCAGACGGGGTTGTCCCTCTGAAGCACCCTGAGCCTAAGCCTCCTCCTGAAACACGCCCTCCTGGCTGCTCGCAGTACAGCCGCGCCCGGGGGGGGGGGGGGGGGGGGGGGGGGGGTTAAGGGCAGATGGGCCACGGGCCTGGCGGTGCTGGCGTGATGGGGACGCCGCGAGGTGAGGGTGGGATGATGGGTGATGTCTGTGTTTGATGGGGAGGGAATGATGCCGGGTGAGAGGATGCAGCATGTCACAGTCAACCTTAGAGGTCACGCCGAGAACCGCAGGTTGGCCTGGGGGCCTCAGGCCCCTGTAACGCATGATGCTACGTAGTAATAAGGTCATCAGCATGCGTTTCTGATTCATCGGGTGTTAATTCCTTTTTTAAAATATATATATATATTTTTATTGATTTCAGAGAGGAAGAGAGAGGGGGAGAGAGAGAGAAATATCAATGATGGAGAGAGAATCATGGATCGGCTGCCTCCTGCACACCCCACACTGGGGATCGAGCCCACAACCCGGGTCTGTGCCCTGACCACAGAATCAAACCGTGACCTCCTGGGTCATAGGTCAGTGCTCAACCACTGAGCCCTGCTGGCCGGGCAGGTGTTGATTCCTTGACTAAGGATATTAACAATATCAAAAGTGCAAGATGCAAGACGGGACTGGGAGGGAAGGCAAAGAACAGTCAACAGTGCCCACATTGCTCAACAATAACTATTAAAAGTGACTAGGTTTGATTCCCAAAAAATACGTTTTTTCTTTCCTAAAAATAAATAAATGCATCGATGATGATGCTGGTACAAGACTGTTGGCTCTCAGCTGTGGTCACCAAATGAGAACTGTGGACACCGGGGGGCCTCAGGGGAGGCGGAGACTGTACAATGGTTCCCAGCCTGAGGGTTTTGTTAGCCTCCGGCGGGATCCCACACAGAAGCGGCGGCCAGGAGAGAGACAGGCTGCCGTTAACCTAGAAGACGCATCAGGACCATGCCTGGAGCTCCGCTGCCACTGGGAACATCTCCCGGGAACGGGAATGGGAACAGGAACGGAAAGACAGCTGGCAGCCACGGTTTCACGGCCCTCCCTGGAGTGGGTTTCTGACTGCCCTGGGATGCTACAGACACTGGAAAGCTCAGCATTGCCACTGACCGTGAGGGTAAAGCTGTCACTTTTAACAGGCACCCCTGTGTGTCTTGGCAGGAGAGAGTGATAAAATCAGCAGCTTGCCTGTAAAACAGCACTCAGATTATTTAAGAATTTTCTTTCATATTCGTCAGCATCAATCATGCCTCTCAAGCAAAAAAAAAGTAAAAATCTAATTTTCTTCCTTGGAGTTTCCTATTTTTCCAGTAATCCTTCATTATGCTAGTGAGTATCAAGAAATAGAAGTCTCCTTCAAAATTAAAGTAATATCATTAAGCTATTGTTAAAATTTCAGCTGTGGCCCAGAAAAGTAATTCACTTAGGCATATAATGTAATTAATAGAAACCATCCTAGTAACTAGTTTTCATAGGAATGTGTACAGCTTAATGATCAGGAATTGCAAAATATCAGGCAATAATGAAAAGTATCAGAAGTCTAATTTTCATGTCCCCTTGAGATTGTTCTAGGTTAGGTGGGTATGTTGCCTGGAGTGTGGCAAAAGTAAAATCGGACATAATTAGAATCATTCTCAATGCGGTGGCGGCCTTAGGCGGATTCTGCGCCCGGGACGGAATGCCACATGCGGACAGAACAGGGCCCGTGCTTAGATCAAACCCCTGCACCGATGTGAAATGTACTGAGAGTGATTGCTGTAGTGTGGTCACGTGAGAGAATATCCCTACACTTAGGAAATACACGCTGAAGTCTGTATGTAGGGAAAATGGCCAAAATGGATATAACTTACTCTGAGATGATTCAGAAAGAAAAAATGCAGCTTTATATAGTCCCCCCCCCCATATACTCAAAGGGAGTCACACAAAGTCACTACAAGAAGTAGAGTGAAATATAACAATAAGTGAATTTGAACAAAAGGTATATGGGTATTTTGTTTTGTTTGTGTTTTTTACTCCTCACCCGACGATATTTTCCCATTGATTTTTAGGGAGAGTGAAAGACAGAAACACTGATGAGAGAGAGACACATGGATTGGTTGCCTCCTGTAGCCTCCTGCACACACCCCGACCAGGGCCCGGCCGGAGAGGAGCCTGCAACCGGGATACGTGCCCTTGACCAGAAGCAAACCCTTTAGTCCTGAGGCCGACGCTCTATCCATTGAGCCACACCGGCCAGGGTGCATATGGGTATTTTTAATACTATACTGTTGCAACTTTTCTGTTAGTTTGAAATTATATCCAAATAAAGAGTTTGAAATTTTAAAAGTCAGTCTCATCAAGGAGGGGTGCGCAGCGGATGGCTCCCCATTCTCTAGGAAGGCAAGGGCAATAGCTGTCCTTTAACAAATCCTCTTGAATGAGCAAGGGCTCCAGAGAACAGTTCCGGTGGCTTCACCAAGCGACTGACAATAAAAACTGGCCAGGAGACTCGCTGCCACCCGCGCCACGCCCGCCTCAGAAGTCGCCTTTTCTTTTCTGTAATCAGCTTAAAATGCAGAGTGGTGGCGAGCTTTATTAAAACACTCCAAACACCCAAACCCCGCTGCTCCCCCTGCTCGCTATCTGCTACGCGGACAGGTCATTGCGCCTCTCCGCGCCGTTTCCCACGTGGTCATCAGAATCGTGCAAGTGTCTGCTTCGTAACAGTGTCGTGGAGATTGAAAGACAGGAGATGTGCAAGCCCTGAGGCCAGGGCTTGGCACCGACAATGGTCGGCAAGTAAGTGTCTCCTAGGATCATAAGCATTGTTATTAATTAAAGACAAAAAGGTCGGAACTGGGGCTCCTCAACCAACCCCTGCCTTGCAAATGCGACGAGTGAGGCATCCAGGCCGGAGGCTCGCACATACACACGGTGGGTGCTGGGAGACGAGCGTAACTGAAAGGCGCGCTCGCCGGGTTAACATTTAACACGTTTCCGGAGGTGCTGGGAGCTGGAGCAAACGTGCACAGTTCAAAACAACAGGTCTAGACACATTATTCCCCGCAGAGATCTGGAAAAAGCTCTCTCGCCCACCAACGTTTCCAAAGCCACACGCGTGCCCTTTGCCCATGCAGTCACACACCCAGCACAACCCCTGGCAGTCAGCTGCACGACGTCAATCTTCTTTCGTTCTCACACGACTTCCTACATGAGGACTACAGATCCCTAAAGAGTAATAAACTATTTCCAAACTATCAGAAACCCTAATGTAAATGATACAAGTGCCAGGTATTTAAAAAAAAAATTGACATGTTATTTAATGAATAAACATGTTTATCAAAAGGCATTTTTCAAAACCTGGGTCCTCATGTGCCCCCACTCACGTGCCGCTTTCCATTCAGACCAGCACACCGCCCTCCCCCGCCACGGCTGCCGTGTAAATAGCCTGCCCCGGGCTCGGCGGACCTGCCCGGACACGTCCCAGCCCCAGCTCCGAGTCGCTGGAATCCCCCCCGTGAGGACGGATGGTCCTGGGCTTGGCCCTCCTTGGCCCTCAGATGTCTTGGCTGGTGCCCTCGGGATTCCTGTGGCTGAGTCCTTCAGACACTTCAAAACATATTCTCTGGATTACACCAAATGCAGCCCTGGCAGAGCTGCACTTGGTCATTTTTCTATTTTAAGAATATGGCCCTGGAACCAACTGGTACTGTTGGGAGCCAGACACATCCCCACCCAAAGGCTCTTGTAGCCATTCGCCAAGGACTTGGGTCTCTGGCTAAAGAACCAGCGTAAGTTTTTCTCAAGAATTTGGGGCCAGCAAGAAATTGGGAACAAAGGTGCAATGCTGGTGAGTTCAAGTTCCAAGAAGGGATCTTGGTACATCTCTGCCTTTTCAGCACCCAAAATAAATTGGGGGGGATGATTTTTATGGTCAGGATGCGTCCCGTAAACAGTGGTGTCAGTGAAAGAAGGCCAGGCGCTATGGTTTCTGGAGATTGCTGTGGGCTGATGGCCCAATGGCAACATGGAGCCAAGGGATGGGATTACGAAAAGGCCAGCAATACTTGGAACCCCTACGGTAGTCTTTTGTGGGATCCGTGCCCCAAAGCTATCAACATGGACTGAGGGCAATTTATTCACTGGGTCTGTGGGACCAGGACCCAGTCAATAAAATTCCCCGATATAAACGTTCTTCGTCAAGGTGGAGAGCCCGGCCAGCAGCAGCAGCAGCCTTACCCGGGAGCGTGTTAGAAACACAAGTTCAAGCACAACCCCGGACCCCGGAACCAAATTCACTGAGGGCAGGGTCCCAAAGCCTGTTTCCCCAAGCACTCTAGGTAATTCTCGCGAATGCTGAAGTTTGAGACCTCCTGTCCTAGAGGCATCGCAAGCTCTGAGGGAGGCGTGGCCACCTGAACACCTATGGGTGGGGCTGTGGGGCTCTGGGAGAGCTCCCTGTGCCCCGTGCCCCACCTGGCCAGGATCCCCACACATAATCTGACCGGGGCCGCAGGGCTGTACTCGTGGTGGCAAAGGCATTCGGCCACAGACATCACCAAGCACATGTTTCCCGAGAATGTTCTCACCCTCTGTTATCTTCAGGGAGATCTTCCCAGCGAGACTTAAGCCGCGCTGCCTGGGAGTGTGGACTTGCCTCCCACCCCTCCCAGCCATAGGCACGGAGCGGTGAGCTTCTCAAGAAGAGACTTGACTGCTGGATGGAGCGAAGTGGCGTTCCAGCCCTGGCCCTCTCCTGGGTTGACATTTGGTTCACTTCT